CGGGCCACGACCACCTGGACCACCTGGTCCTCCCGGGCCACGACCTCCTGGTCCGCGACCTCCTGGGCCTCCTGGACCGCCACGTGGTCCCCGTGGGCCTCCAGGACCGAAGGGTCCTTGGGCGGCGGCCACTCCGACCAAAGCAACAAGAGCAACAAGGACAAGGGTGCGCATTTCGTATCGGACAGTGAACGGAACGACTCGAACTGATCTCGGCATGTCCCGATGGCGGTATATATACCGACCGTCTGGGGAAAGTCTCCCCGGCACAAGTGTTCCATCGGTGACGTGTGCGCGCTGAGCAAACTAACGTCAGCGGGGTTGGGCAAATTCCACTGGCCAAGTCAGCCAAGTCAAGCAAGTCAGCCGCAACGCTTTTGGCATTGGCCTTCGTTGTGGAGTTTGCGGGATGGAAAAAACAGCGCTAACGCTTTGCATTCGAAGAAAAGGTTTCGTGTGTCTAGTAACGATAGAATATGGATTAAGTTGTAACAACGCTGATCAGCACATTTGAACGTAATGTTGTTTTTTTTTAATAAAACTATAATTAATTTTTAATTTTTATTATCTTTCTTGGAGTTTGGTTAGAGTTTACAGTATAGTCGTATTAATTTCTTTAAAAAGAAGTGCCTTCATGTGATCCAGAAAGAAGCATAGTAAATGTTTGTATTTATGTTATTTAAAATCATATAATCCTATGTAGCTGTTTGGCTTGGTTTATAGATCTTATATAAAAGAACAGCTAATGATCCGGGTCTGTGTCTTGAGTCAATATCTTAGCCAAATATTTGCTATCAAGCGCTAGACACTGCAATTTCTGACCAAGCGTCAGTGGAGTTATTGTTTGGAGAACATCAATATTATTACCCTAGAAAATTACACAACACTCTATGGAGGTATGAATGTTTGCACAAGTGGTAATAAGATCAAATGAAAGTAAAGTTTTCAAAACACCTGAAGCTGAAAACAAAATCATGCGCGGAAGAAGTGAAAAAGTTAAAACACTATGAGTGTTCTTTTTTTGATCGAGCATCTGCTTTAAAATCTGGTTAGCAATAAACTAGTCTATAACTTGTAGTGTTGGAAGCGCTACGTTTATGTTTACAAAAGTAATGGTTTCATTTTAAATTTTTGAAAAGCTATATTTTATTAACTCATCCCATTTGGGTATTGTTTTGAAGAATTACTTAGCTGTCATTTGCAGTGTTGGGAAGTGTTTTGATTCAATTATTTCCATCTGATGACCGTAGCATTCCGTCCCTCTTCGATTTCCTTTTTCCCGTTCCCACGCACATATGCATGCTATAAAGCTGTCGTTGTTAATTGGAATAAATTGCTTGGGTGCTTTATTTAAAGAGGAATTTGTTTTGTTGCAGCAACCTACTATACAACAAAATGCTTAATTATGTTTTTGCTCGTGTTGCATCCATTGTTGTTTGTCTACACTTTTTCTAAATGTCTTCGGCTGTGTGTGTGCGAGTGGGAGTGAGAGGCCAGACTCAAATGTTGGTAATGAACAGTTAGGAAGTACAAAGGCTGTCGGGTCTAGAGAAAAAAATTGCGGCAGAAAAACTGCCTGCTGCTTGCACGGAGAAACAGCCAGAATTCAGGTTTGCTCTTTGAGAAGATTTCCAAAACACACCTAAATACAATATCTTATCAGCTATGTAATCCCACATTTATACTTTAATTCTACGTTTTATATTGTCAGAATTATTGACTTTCATACGGAAGGATAATAGTACAGATGGACAGATGAAAAAACAAACAGACATGGCATCAACTCGTGTGCTGATCCTATTCAAAAATATTTATAACAAAGCCACGAAATTTTTATCTTGATTCTATTAGATTCTAATAAAGATGATTCATTTATTCTAGAACACAGAGATTACTTCGAGCTTAAAGATCTACATTTATAATGATTTTAGTTTTTAAGTATTGTTTGGTTGTTGGGCGTTACGAGTTTTTACTTAATTATACATTAAGCCAAATACTTAAAAGAATTATCATATTTTAATTTAATTTTATAACTAGCTATTAATATTCAAACTAAGGCAATGTTTTCAGTGTGCATTTTAAAGCACTTTTATTTCAAACGATTTTCGTTTCATTTTGAGTGAAATTAAAATTTGCCACACTTATTTTTCTAGTTTTTTTTCTCTTGTTTTTGTCTATGCTTTTCTGTTTGTTGCTGTTTTTTTAGGGTGGTTGGGGGGCGGGGTGGAAAGGGGTGGTGGTGGTGTGTGTGTGGATGCAGGACGAGTGGGCACAGTAAGGGTTAGGCTGCTTAAACCACGACGGGCAAAAATCCGAAAACAAAACAAAAGAAAAGTTTTATTTGCATTTCTTTGGCATTTCGCTGCCAAAAGAAAGTGAAGCGAAAGAAGTCTGCAGGTATGCGATGTGGCATGTCCTGGCCCAGAATCCAGGAGCCAGGATCCAGAATCCTTCTGCAGGATGGCTTTCCGGCCCAGGGGTGGTTCCCCGGCCACGTGAAACTTGTTTCATCTTGGAAAGTACAACAGCAATGGCAACAAAAAATAAGGCAAAGTACGAGGGAAAAAACCAAACTCATTTTACAGAGATTCCTCGACGTTGCCACTTTTCAACTTCCTCCAGCCATGCCACTCAAACCCATTTCTCTACATATAACCAATTGAAATGAATTTGTATCCTGTGGACACACACACACACATACACATACAATAACAAGCGAAGCAACAAGGACGAAGGAGGCGAAAATTTCGCCGACAAACTTTGACTTTGGTTATTGTTACAGTTTAACTTTGTTGCCTTTGCTATTCATCGTTTTGCTCTTATTTTGGCAGCCTTTTTTTTACAGATGTGACTATTTGATTACCCATTAAAAGTGAGAAAATCAATGAATGCATTTTTGATAAATAGAAACAGTTTTTAATCCAAGGCACTTAATATGACGGAAAATTTAATGTTACCTTGTACTTGATTACCTTAAACCAATACAGCTAGGACTTCAAAATTGAAAAGTTGAATAGCGTATTTAGGAAATAAAAATATAATACCATGTCAAATTAATCCCAGAGCGAATCGAGAGATATAGTCATTTGGCTTCTGAGCTATATAAAAACTCGTTCGCAGATATTTTTTAAGGCAGATTTAAATATTTGCTATTCTAAAAACCATCATTAAATTATCTAAATGATGCTAAATGATTCAAGAGGAAATAATTTGCAATATCGAAAGCGCTAATCTTTACCTGATGGTAAGACTTAAGCATTGTCAAAGCCCCCAGATCCTTCTATGTGTTGTAATTTAGCTTGAGTATTGAATAATAGTTTTATTAAGATAATTGATACAGAGATTAAGCTTTACACATTCGTTGGCGATAGTGGTGGACAGAAGAAGAAGGAACAGTACGATCGTTAGAGAAGTTACATTAGACTTTTACTATCGATAGTTCGGTATGCGATACCGTGCCAATTGCATTTCCAATACTATGCAACCATATTTATCAGGCAGGCTCCGGTTTTCACTTTCACAAGATTCTCTCGTTTTCGTTTTCAAAAACGAAAATTGGTGCTCCGGTTTTCACTTTCACAAGAATTTTTCGTTTTCAAAAACGGTCAAGTTTTTTTTGTCGAAATGAAAAGTAAATGCCTTTTTCTACATCAAATCGGTTCTTAATTGCAAAAGGAAAAAAATCGTTGATTCCTTGGTCTATTGATGTTCATTTCCCACTATCAGTAGATCAATCTAATTCGTATTTATTTTTTAAATAATTATTTTCTGACCCCACCTTGATTTCATACATAAAATATTTGCCGTCGGCAACAACAAATTTCGTTTTGCTCAGGGGCCGATAAATCTATTGCCAAAAGTTATCGTCAATGCTGCCGTACTTGTAGTGGAACGAAACAACCACTTAAAAATACTTATAAAAAGAAAACGAAGAAAAAAATATTTGTAAAGAAAAGTTAAATAAGCTTTTCATAAATAAATATGATTAATTTAGTTTGTTAAATGCCAAAAGTGCAGTGAAAAAGTGGTTGAGAATAGTGGAATGAAAACTGCAAAAAAGGTGGCAGCCCCTTATTGTGGGAAACAGCTGATTTCTGATGGAGGCTTATTTGAACTTTTAAAAATGTAAGTAAGACAACTTAATTTACCGATCGTCAGATATATTAAAAACACATGTGCTGCATCTAAAATGTCTCGATTTTCTTAAATCAATCAATTTCTGCCTTCTTTTGGCTTCAAAACAGGCAATTAAAAATATAAAAGGCATTTTTTCGCATTGTTTACTTTTGACCAAAAAAAGTCAGCTGTTTGAACCATTCCGATAACAAAACGATGACAAAAAGTTTGTGAAAACCGGAGCACCTTAAACGAAAACGTACGTTTTCGCCCAAAAACGAAAACGAGAAAAAAAAGTGAAAACCGGAGCCTGCCTGTATGTCTTTATTTTGGTTTTCCACCCGAAAATAAACTATCAAAAACCCATTTAGGTAAAGGAGAAGGTTAGATAAATGTTTAGTGAAAGTAAAAAATAATCATAAGACTCCCTGATAATTTCATACCATTGGGTACTTCAAAGTCGAGTGGGTTGTTCGAGCTTGAGGATCATCGTAGCTTCTTGAGTCGCCTCCGTTGTTGTTGTTTCATTTTGTTGTACCGCTTTTGCTGTTGTTGTTGTTTCTCCTGATGTTGCTGGTGTCGCCAACGCAGACGTCGCCGCTTGCTTCCTGCGAAAAGTGAGGGCGTGCCAAAGGGAAACTTTTCAAATAAAACGATTTCTTATTTAGGCAGCCGATTTGAGACACGCCTCCCATTTCCATCTCCATCTCCATTTCCATTCCCCTCTTCCTCTTCCTTGCCCTTTCTCTTTCTCCTCTCTTCTTTCTCCTTTTCCTTTACCTTTGCCTGCCCCTCAGCAGTTTCATGCCCCCCAGGATTATTTACTATTGCGCAGATCTGGAAATGTAAATTTCCCCGGCTAATGGAATCTGTACTCGGGTTTGTTTCGAAATAAACTGAAATATACATCTTTATTCAAAGGGTTTGAAGGCCGCAAGGACTCGGCGATCAAGGTGCCGCAGTAAGGTTCCTAGGCGGAGGCCTCGCTGGAGGACTCCTGCGAGGAGGAGGACTCCTGGGAGGAGGACGAGTTGCCGCCCTGAGGAGGTCCTTGCGGGGGTCCCTGGCCACCAGGTCCGCCCTGCGGGGGTCCTTGACCTCCTGGTCCACCCTGGGGTGGTCCCTGACCTCCGGGTCCGCCCTGGGGTGGTCCCTGGCCACCAGGTCCGCCCTGTGGAGGTCCTGGAGGACGACGTCCTTGGGCGGCGGCCAGGGCCACCATCGCGAGCAGAGCAACGAGGAAGAAGACGCGCATTTTGACTGTTTGGTTTGTAGATTGTAGATGACTGACTTGGCAAGTTCAACTGACTCCAGCAGCCACCTATGGGCCCCTTAAATACCCAATTGCCAACGGATCCCGTGCATCGGAGCAAGTGCAGCAGGTGTTTTGCATCTCAGTGTTTTCTCCGGGCAAACAGAAACTTTGCTGCGGAATGTGATGCAGCTACTGCCCCAACTGGAATTGGAGTTGTGTAAGCCGATCGCGTCGGAAATGCCTTGGCGATTATGGGATCTTTTTAATATTTGCTCTATTCATACGATTGGATCACACATGAACATATAGATCAGTTAAAGATCAGTATTTGCACGAACACATTAGTTGTTTAAATTATAAATTATTTTTCTGAGGTTCTAGCTATGTAAAACAAAGAGTTTTTCCTTCGGTAATATTCGGTAAAATGTAGTATAAGTCTGTTTATTCAGATACTTATTTTAACATGTTTAAGCAAGTTATCATTTTCAACTTCTAACGACTCCTTTGCCCAAAAATCCGCGTTTGGATTCCCCTTTGTTTTCTGGCTCACCCTGAAATTGAAGAAATAAAAACGGCAATGAAGTAAAGCAAAACAATTGAGCTGAAACCTTAAGCTCCTTGCAGGGATTTGGCCAGAGAAAGTCGAAAGTGCCTGCACTTGCGATGCCCCCAGGGGCCCGCCATGGCGCACATTCCACAGAACCTCGGGCATTTGGCACTCGAAAGATACACCCAACTTATAAAAATTTCCACACATGATTTCGCTTTATTACTTTATGGCTGTGTGTGAGTTTTCACTTGCGAGGGTGGGCGTCTTTTCCAACCTGAAGTCTCTCCCAAGCCTGAAAAAATATTCAAAAATGCAAACAAGTTTTTCTGTTCGAACACATTAGAAATATCAACTACCAGAAATAATCAATTTCGGGTACATTTGAGTTTCCTGTATTTATTTCTTTATATTTTACAAGGCATTATTATTCCGCTACTTATTCACCTTTATAAATTTCAAAGCAAGGTGCTGTTTTCCTCAGTGTCGAGTGTTGTGCAGACTCTTATGAATATTTCAAAGGACTGCCGGGCTTAAACTTTGACATTCAGACTGAAAGTTGGCTCTATCCCGCGGAGACATGCACACTCGTATATCCTGAATCCTTGCAGCACGCCCTCAAGTGCCGGCACTTTCACTTGCAGGATTTCCCGCTCCTTTGCGCTCCTTTTCTTCTGTCTCGCGATTGTCGGGCTGTAGCCTTATTTATGAATCTATTTGCAGGACGCAAGGAGCGCAGGGAGCGCAAGGAACGCAAGGACCTCTCTCGACTCGTAATAACCTTTGATGATCTGTTTGCAGGGCGCGTGCTGCGAATTGTCAATAAACAGCCAGTTTCGCCGCTCGAAAAGCAGCTTGCCGAAGTGCTCCCCCCTTGGAGCTCCTTGCCCCTTCGATGGGGCAGCCACCAGCCACCAGCCAGCAGCCACCAATGTGCCAATGTGGCAGTGTCGGGTGCTCGGGATTGCCCCCCACAGTTGCGGGGCTTTTTAAAGCCCGTGCTGGGCAATTACGCCCGACACACGGTTTTCGCTTACACCTAACTGCGGGATGATTAAAGAGGGCCGCGCCGGGTTTGATTACTGAGTTAATGGGCCAGGACGCCAGGACGCGTGGATTTGCGGTCAACTGCGATGCGCTGCCATCGGGCCCATTTTGATTAACCCAAACGCAAATCCACTCACACACTCGGAGATAAACACTCATCGGAATGCTGATGAGGCATTTAGTGTCTGGTGTCGAGAGGTCCACCTCATCCGACTCATCCGACTCCCTCCCTTTTCTGTCCATCCTGTTGGCCCCGCTAATTCGCCGAACGGGATCTAATAGGCCGGATTCGATTGCACAGTCGGCCAGTCCGCAGGCCGGCCCCCAATTTTGAGTTCCATTCATCCATCCATCCATCCATCCATCCATCCACCCATCCATCCATCAGGAAGCATCCGCGCACTCGGTTGAGCGAGCGGAACCAGGCCGGAAATGTTATTATGCAGAATAATAACAACGCACCGCACTATGAAATTAAATTGCGAATCGCAGCAGTGACTAAACTTAAAATACAAGTTATTGCAACACCCCAATCCGCTTCACAAGTGTGGATCCGCGTGTGTGGCTTGCCACATGACTGCCTCTGACTCCGACTCCGACTCCGACAATGAGGATGGGGATGCGTATGAGAATGCGGATACGGATGCTTCCCTGGTTGCCTGACCATTTGATGCCCTTCAAAAAGTGTCTTGGCAGCCCGTCGATTGCTATACTTAATAGTTTCTAAGCTTAGGTTAAAACAAACGTAAACTGGGTTGTCCAAACAGCAATGCAAATTCTAAATTACTTTGTAGTTTCTCTTTTTTGTTTTGAATTAACAATTAGAAAGGACGAAAGAATTGTTTACTTTCGTGAATTCGCAAACACCTAATTCTTGAGGGAACATATTTCTATATATGTATACAAATTTAACATTTGAAATACCTTCACTTCAATTTAAAAAAGGCACCATCGAGAGTTTTTAGCGATTAATAATTGCCTCTGTTGAACTTACTAGAATACTTTAAACCAAAGATGTTAATTGAGTTTTGGCCTTCGTTCTTATTTTCCTTGCAAGTGTTCTTCAGTTCTCGTCTTCCCAAAAAAGAATTGTTTATCGATGTGAGCTCAGAGGTTCCCCCGGAGGAAGTGCATTCCCGGCTCGTCTTTATTCGCTGTGGAAATCGTGGCTGTGGCTGTTTCCACTGCGTTTGCTGGCTGCCTTCAATCCGTTTTCGGGGTCGTGGATCTGAAGTTCGGGGGGTTCCCCTTCCCCTTCCCCTTCCCACTCCCCCTCCCCCTCGCCATTGCTATTGCCATTGCATTTTGCCTTTGTTTTTATACCCTTGCAGAGCAAAAGGTATTATAATTTCAGTCAGAAGTTTGCAACGCAGTGAAGGAGACACCTCAGACCCCATAAAGTATATATATATATAGCAGAATCCGAATACGTCTGTCCGTCTGTCCTCCTGTCTGTTTCTACGCAAACTAGTCTCTCAGATATTTATTAAAGTCCGGATCGGCCGACTATATCGGATAGCTCCCATACGAGGGAATGAAATGAAAAATTCTCACGCCGTTGTTTTTGATCAGATCGACTTGATTTCTTCAAGATGGCGTTTTCTAACTACTACTGAATTTCGGATTAAATTTTATCAAAATCGGATAACTCTATCATATAGCTGCCATAGGAGAGATCGAAAAATATATATAGAATTAATGGAAATAAATTGATAACATCGTTGTTTTTTATCCCACGAGCATATCAAGTTTTTAACAACCCTTAAAATTAAAAAAAGTTTCATAGAAATCGGACCACTACATCTTATAGCTGCCATAGGAAAGATCAAAAAAATCTATATAGAAATAACGGAAATTCATTTAAAATATCGTTGTTTTTCATCAGATGAGCATGATTTTTGGAATATAAAGTTTTCTAAGGACTCTTGAATTACGAATTAAGTTTGATCAAAATCGGACAACTATGTCATATAGCTGCCATATGATCTATAGTCGAAATTTTGGAAAATTAAAAGAATTTGTGTTTTTTGCTTGACATATTTGATGACTGCAAGGGTATATAAGCTCCGGCTTGCCGAAGCTAGCTTCCTTTCTTGTTGTTTTTGCTTTTGCTGCTGCCGCTGCACTCGCCGTTTTTGGCTCGTTTTCGTTTTCGTGGGAGTTGGAAGACAAATTGATTTCATGTCTGAAACTTCTTAAGCGCTCGCATCGGGGGAATCCTTGGCTCCGTTTTCTGTTTTCTGTCTTGGTATGTGTCTGTGTGTGCTTGTCTGTGTCTGCGGCTATCTGTGTGGTGTTGTGTTTGTGCTCCCCAATTTGATATTGCACACATGAAGCGCAGCCAGATCCACCCACCCACCACCCACCGAATTCGCTGCTCTTTGGGGGGCTCCTTTCTTAACCTATCTCCCCTTTTATTTTTTTTTGGCCGCAGTGGGTGTGTGCTGAATTTGTCTAGAAATTGATGCGCTCGCCGTCGAAACAATATAGCGAGACAACGGAGCAAAGGCAACATGTTGCAAAGGCCGGCGTCCCCACATCCTGCCACACCCCTCCTGCAGCAAGTGCACCCCGCCCACTTTGGTTGCATGCTTTTGGCGAATATTTTGCGGCACGTCGCTGCGGCTTCGCCTCCGCTGTCATAGACATGAGCAATAGACAGATACAAACGAAAACATGTGCACTCACGCCAGGCGAACACTGTGCGAAAAAAGGGTGCGCAATACAGGCAGTTCACCCAACTGCATTGGTGCATACAATAAGTGGTAGGATGTTTGCCTACAAGGCCCACTGTACCTTGGAATAAAAATAAAAAGAATAAGAATTCTAATTAGAGAAAGAGATAAGAGATAAAGACCAGAGACATATAGTCATCTCTCTCGGTCTCATTAAATAAGATAAAGATCGTGTATTGCGAGCTCTCTCACGCGGCTGAACGAGAAGAAGAAGTAAGAGAATAAAAGGTATTCAGTTCCTGGCGATTGAAAGGAGCGGTTGGATATACAGTCGAATCCCGATAATTCGTACCCCGCTAAATTGAAAATCGCGATAATTCGTAAAAAATTCTGTTCCCTTGAAAAAAAATGCCTTGAAAAAAATCTCGATAAATCGAATTCCCGTCTAATTCGTAATAAAAGTGATCCCCTTGCCATTTCGAATTATCGGGACTCGACTGTACATTCATATGTAGGATTGGTATAGTTATTAGAGGATATCCCTGATGTGTTCAGTATTAAAGATCTAGTATTAAGGATCTAGTATTAAGTATTAAAGAGTAAGGTTGTCAAGCTTAATGAGATGCGGACACACTTCAGAATAAGTAGCCGAACAGAGCGGTCGAAGTCGAGAGCTTAAGTTGTAAAAAAGGAAAACGAAGAAGTGTAAAAGAGGAAAACTAAGAAGTTAAAAGAGAACACGTGAAGCACATTTACATTATATAAGACATTAAGAA